ACACACACACAGACAGCCTCTCGACAATATGCGTTTTTGCTGGATGTAGCAGCGCTATAGCGCTGCGCAGCAAAAACGCATAATAAGCGAAAAGGTAAATAAATTTTTTCATATGCTATTTAAAAATTGCCTTGTTCGTGCGCCTTGCTCTGCAAGAGTATACTACCATTTTAAAAAAAAAGGATCCCGAAAGGATTTCTTATCTTGTCTGAACTAACGAAATGAGGAGAAACAAATGACCTCAACGCCAGTGAGATTAAGTTGTCTGGTCAGGCCGCCAACATTTCGAATCACTCGGATGAATTCATTTCGCTGGTTTTCTAGATCGTGTTGCGTTTGCTCTTTGTGCTCCATCAGCTGCTTACGAACGCGTTGTAATTCGGTCCATAGGTCCATCATTTTCTTCTGCTCATCACTCAAGTACTGTGCCAAGTTCTGGAATGGTTTTTGTTTTTTGAAACGATTGACTCTTGAGATGCTAAAATAAGCTTTGTTTTTTCCGGATTGCAACTGAGTTCCCTATAAGGCATTCTTTCGAAGATTACCATTTTTATAAAAAGAAGCTTATACCCGTTCGCGAGTTCGATAGACTCGCTCTTTTTCTCGAATGTTTGCGTCGAATTGCTGACGGAGGCGTTCGTTCTCGTGCATTAGTTGATCATTTTGGATACGCTCCTGTTCAAGCTGTATTCGGTAATCATCCACTCTGAAATGAAATTTCTTTAAAAAACAAGAAATTTTTAGAGGACCTGATTTCACTTCATTTCTGAAATCACGCCTTTTCAGGTTTTTTTTTCATCTTGAAATTGACAAAAGTAAAATTTGCTGAAGGTAACACGCTGTTTGCTTCGTAAACAACTGGTGGACTGTAAACGGTAACCACCCTACGTAAAACAACCATCCTGATAGCCTTTACGTAAAGATTTTCATGTAAGCGATGGAATGTGCGTAGTACTGTTGGCTCTTTAGTGCCAAACATTCCACCAAGACACTGTGCATCCGCTTAACAGGAACTTGGGTACTTGGTTTCATCACGAACTGTGTTGATAACACAACGAATGCGTTCGGGAATGCGAGTAATCTTGAAACTTGCTGAAGATTGCTTGCCTTCTGCGTTCTTCGTCCAGTTTAGCAAGAAGCTGATATTCGGTGGCATCATCGAAGCCTTTTTTCGGGCTCCAAAGCACTTCTTCCTTGTACTTTGTATCTGGATACACAGTTGAATCAATTAATGTGAACGACGACGGCTCATCCGATCGGCGGGCTGCCATTCGACCCTCGAGATCGGCAATGTGACGGCGGTATTCTTGTACCTTGAAGCAATATCGTTACAGTTCTAGGGAAAAAAATTATCGGAGATGTTGTATAATGCCGTTTTTATGCGTTTTTTGCATCAGTGCAATGCAAACCCAAGCTGGAACGCACCAGGCTGTCCGGTGCGATCATGCGTTTTTGCAACAAACTCGCAGATCGCTATTAGCAAGAATGACCCTCACGCTGCGGCGTAACACTTGGACTCATATTGGCCGTGCTTTGGCCCCTTCCTGCATGCAGGAGGAAGAGCGTCAGTTAGGATGAAGGTGGTGCATTTTAGAGCCGCACGGGCATTCAGGTGCATGATTACCGGTTTTTATGCGTTTTTGCATATATGTAAATTGCAAAAACGCATATTGGG